GCCGCCGCCTGCTCCTCCTCTCATTTCCTCCTCCTCTTCCAAGAATGCCCCCAGGGATGGCGGAAATGTCGAACATGACCTCTTCGCTAACCTCGTCGACATGGTCCCCCTCGTTGAATCTCTCATGGTCAGCTTCCTCAAACCTCAGCTCCCCTTCTGGCTGTTTTCCTTTCCTTCTCACTCGCTGCTGCTGTTGTTGACTGGGGGTTCCTTGCTCCTACTGATCCCAGGATCGGAGGGCAAATCCGTCATTCAAGCGGAGGGCTTCCATCGTGCAGACGGCCACCCCCAAGGTGAGAGCTTTATTTTTTTGGCCATTTAATGCAAATTCATCATCAGTATTTTTACTGGTAACATGTTTACATACGCAAGATCTGGAAAAACATCCTTTGATTAATGTTGCCTAGCCAAGCATCTGGGGAGTCGAAATCAGTTTATAGTTTCAGTTTTCTAAACTAACCGAGCTCTAATCTACGCTAGTTTCAGCCCAGGAAAATTGATTACCTACTGGGGAAAAGAAATGCTAGCCTGATGTAGTTTTCGACCCCTCGGTTAGTCCGTTCTCAGTCGGGGTTAATGTTTACAGTGTGAGGATCAAACGAAGGCAAGAGAATGGCTTTTATTGTGACATCCACCGACCCAAAGTTATAGTCCCACATCGGTGAGAGAACAAGATATATAAAGGTTTAGGGCGTCTCTAATGGAGCGCCTAAGCTCCATTTTGAAGTGTTTTGGCGCTCTAATGGAGCGCCAAACATCCCGCTAAAATAGCGGGCTGCTACAGTATTGCGTCAGAAATGACGCAACACTGTAGCATTGACGCAAATTTTTTTTTTTGGGAAACTTTTTATGGAAGGTCTTATGAGAAGAAATACAGAAACAAACTTTTGTTTTGTTATTTGTATTTGTATTAATAATATATATTATTTTTTATTAACTATTATAATAAAATTAGACTATAAAATAATTATTAAAATAAAATTCAGCAATGGAAAAAAATAGATAATTTAATCCAAACACTTAAAATTTCATAATACTAGAACCAAATGAAGAAACACTTAAAATTTCATAATACTAGAACCAAATGAAGAAATAAGAAAAACTACACCATTTAGATAAAAAAAATACAACATAAACATTAGGATGAAGAAATAAGAAAAACTACACCATTTAGATAAAAAAAATACAACATAAACATTAGGACATAAAAAAAATTACACATAAATTAGGACATTAAAAATTACCACTAATTGCAATACATTAAAATTAAAGAAAAATAGAACATGCTACATTAAAATTACCACTATTTAGCTGATGATATATATACAAAATGGTTTACTCTTATACAAACAATTCATGATCCACGTGGTCCAAAAAAAAGTTATTTGCAATGAAGCAAGAAGGATGTAGAAAAGATGTAGAACGTGCATTTGGAGTACTCCAATCTCGATTTGCAATTGTGTCAGGACCAGCTCGTTTTTGAAAAAAAAAAGTATTACATGATGTAATGACTATGTGCATTATTATGCACAACATGGTAATTGAGGACGAACGTGATCTTAATGCTACAATTGAAAATTGGAAGGAAGCGCCAGCTCCGGACGTAGAGATAGTTGTAGATGAAAATGCTCGGTTTGAAGAATTTCTGGCTCGTCATCAACAAATCAAGAATAAAGAAGCTCATATTGCACTTCGAGATGCATTAATTGATCATTTGGTGGATGAATATACTAATTCGGAGACTTAGCATTTTATCAATATGGACTGTGTCTTTGTGTTTTATTTTATGTTAAATGTAATGCCTTTTATTTTTTTGCTTGCAAGTGTGATGTTTTCTTTTGTGATGTTAAATGTAATCTTTAGTTGAATTTATGAAAGTAATATTTTAATTTGATTTAGCATTTAATTTTTATATTTTTATTTTATTCATAAAATATGTTATTATAATTAATTATGTGTAATGTATTATATAATTATATAATTTGTTAAATATTTTAAATAGATAAAAATGTTAAAAGATAAGAATTATATAATTATATAATTTGTTAAATATTTTAAATAGATAAAAATGTTAAAAGATAAGAATAATAAAATTAATATTCTTTTTGGTGTAACATTTGGTGTAATGGGTTGGAGATGAAATAGTGATTTGGTGTAAAAACTACACCATTTTGGGTTTTTGGGTTGAAGATACTCTTATATAGTGAAGCTAAAGACTCAAGTGTAACATCGGCTAGTCGATTTTGGCAGGGGTTTGAGCCAAATAGCACGTTACACTCGGTGGCGGGCGCCCTGTATGTATAAGTTACGGAACGTTGTGATTTCAGCTTATTGCATGCAGGATTCTCTAAATTCAAGTCTTGCACTCATTATTTATAGCCCTCTACTCCGCTCCTGATTCCCTTATTCATTATTAGTATTGTTTCTTAATGTGTCATTGTAATGGACTGACTGAATCAGGCCTCGAGTGCAGGTTCTTGAAGCTAAAGGCAAAAAGCCAGGACAAGCCACTCCAGCAATAAAACAAAGGGATCACAGGGAGGCTATATCAAACGGACATGCTCAGGACAAAGACAGTGATGCTGGTTGCACCTCGCCCTCCTCATCAAGGGCATCAAGGGAAGGAGGACAAGAGGATGGGCAAAAGGAGAACGGGGAGTTGACCATGTTGCGGGAGCAGTTGGATGCTCTGCATAACATTTTAGCTGAGAAGGATGAAGCTCTGAAATCTGCAGAAGAATCAGTGGATAAAATGCGCACAACTTACGCGACATCTGATGAGCTGAAGCGCAGGAATCTGGAGAAGGATTCCCTGCTCTCCTCTACGAATTCTCAGTTGTCCAACGCAAAGGTAGCAAACTTAAATGAAGAGGCATGATTTACCACTTACTTGTTTGTGCCAAACCATCCTTCCTTTTCTTACAAGAAACTGTACGACGAACACCTGGTGAATTAAGAGCTCTCTGTCATTGGATTAGTGTAAACTGAGAGCTTGAAAATGAGCACGCTGAATCAAGAGTTAGACAGCATTGATATACCACCTGTCATGTGTACGTGACTACGAAAGGAAATAAATCATATGTTCAGATGACACCCGGCGAACAATTTTGAGACTATGCCTGTGAAACAAAAACACATGTTTTTCTCGAGCATTCTCGCATAATTTTCCCTTCAAGTTTAATGGCAGAATATCCCTTGTAATTTGATTTGTACGTATAGACCCCCATCAGAGAATTTTTTTTTTTTTTTAAAGAGAAAAAAATTTGAAGAGGCAGATAGCTTTCCTGTAATTCTATTGGTGAGACTAGAGCCTTAATTACTAATCTTTTTGGCTCTTGAAAGAGAAGGAAAAGTTCATTGAGAAGGTTTGCCCGCGTGCTTGGGCAGATACTGGGAGGTTTTTTTTTTTTTCTTGGGGGTGGGGGGTTCCATCTGCTCAAATAGAACTATAGCTGCTCCATTTGCAAAACTGGGCAATGTTACGAGGTGTCTGTTCCCATCTATTTATAACATAGTCTGTGTATGGTCGTGATCAGTTACCGTGTTTTGCTTTTATCTGCTTTCCTCTTATTCTCGCTTCACTGTTAGGAGCTTCTCACATTACCTTCCACCGTTTTTGTTATGCAGATTCAGCTTGCGGAAAGACAAGAAGCTCTTGAGAAACTAGAGAATGAAGCAAGGATATCCAACAGAAAGGTCCAGGAACTTCAGGCAGATATGGATTCCATGGGCTTCGAAAAATTTGCATTGACCTTGTTGTTTCAAGAGCTCTCAAAGAATGATCCGGCTACAGATTTTGACGAAAATATTTCTTCGTTCAAACAATTTGGTCATCTTCCCCCAATAGTGAGTCACTCCTTGTATAATACAATCGCAAACTCTTATCATGGTATTGCTTCAGTTATAACATCTAGAAAATCCCCTAACAATAGCAAGAAGCCAGCCCACGGCTCCCAGTTGGTGTGCACACCCACTCAGTCAAGAATACACACGCACGCACACAAACACGTACATGCATAACTGTGAGGGAGCCAATTATCCCTTGTGTACTTTCTACAATACCCTCTCCTCTTATATCCTATTTTTAAGATCAGTTTAGACCTTCTATTGAGTTGTCAATGCTGTTAGCGACGTATTTTTCTACAGTTTTAAAATTCATGGCATTATTCTCTAACAAAGAAGTTTAAGGTCACGTTGTGCGTTTTACCTTCAACGTTCAGGACAAATTTGTGAGAACTTACCCTAATTTGAGCCCCATTGCATATGGTACTTTGGGAAGCTAGTGGTACAGTTTGATCTATTCTTGTCTAGATGGTCACATTTGCATACACATTCAAGGCATGACTACATAGGATCACATCCTTTTATTCATATAGAAGTTAGCTTTATAAGGTACGCAGTAATCACTACCTCTTTTAACTGATTTGCATGGGTTACATGGAAACAGGACAACATGAGTGAGACTGAGTTGAAGCAGATGGAGGAGGCTAGAGTTGCCTACATTGCTGCTGTTGCTGTTGCACAGGAGAACCCAACCGTTGAGTCCTTGGCCGCAGCCGCTGAGGCAAGGCTAAAACTGGAAGCTTTTGTATTCTGAAGTCTCAGAAAAAGAGATGAAGCTTTTGTATTCTTAAGTCTCAGAAAAAGGAGAAAACAAAGAAGCTCTTGTCATGCGGCATTTTGTTTGCATGGATTTGGCAAAATTCTCACTTGTACTTTATATCACCAGTTCTGGGGCTTGTCAACTAACAATTCTTCTCAATGCCAGTTGTACTATTTTGTTTAACATTGAATTATTTGCCACCTGGGTG